ATTTATTTCATTATCATATGGACAAGATGATACATTTATTGTTGGTGAGCTTTTCAAAGTTATTGAATCTCATTTGATTCTTACCTAATCTCACCAAAGTATCTTGTAAAATCTCTCCACCCGATCATCTTTTTTGTCTTTGCCGGACAAAATATGATCAAGGACAACATAGTAATACGAAATAGTAGAGCATACACTTCGAAATTATCACACTATACTTTTCTTTATTTTTTTATATCTTTAAATATTAAATTTTTTATATTATATCTTAAATATATTAAAAATATTATAACATGATCATTTCATTAGTTTATATTGTTTATTTTGTTAAAATCATTCTATTAATGTTGACAAAATAAATAACGAAAAATTAAGGAAAAAGTTTTATTTTATAAAAAATTGAAGAAATAATATAAAAAAAATAATTTTTAAAAATATAACATAAAAATTTTAATATCTTTCAGAAATTATAATTCACCCATTGCTTTTTTGTTCCCCCATGTACAACAATGTCGCAATCGGCCAGTAGCAACCCCTTGTCAATTTGTTGTGGAAATTTCCAGGTATTTTCGTTATTTCTTAGCGAGCAGGTATTTATCATGCCTAGACAAACGAGCACGAATTGTTAAAGCAACTCTCACAAACTTATGCTACGGTCACGCTCCTCAGCATCTAAGAGTGTATGGCTCATTTATTAGCCGTGTAATTAAATACGCGCCAACTTGCCCGTCGCCCTCATTTCTCACTCAGCTATTTATTTATTTGGTGGCGGACAAACCCGGATATTCCTTGTTTTGGTAAAGCCGGATATTCAACCCCTCTGTCTTACACTGTTCTGCTTATGCGCTCACATAATTTCTCAAACTTGAGCATCATCTATGCTTGCTCTAAGCTCTCAGCCAGGTCTGACTTCTAATCTATATCGTCCTTTTATTGTTGGGTAATTCTTTTTGCTGCTTGGTAATAATCAACCTGATCATCAATTCTTCTTACATGAACTATGTTGATCACGCTCATACCTGTTTGACCATCATGAGTCAATAAACTTATGGGTTTTGATCTTCTTCAGTTTTAATCTTCTAGATTTCTTTGAAGTATGTAGTTGAGCTCGAGTAATCAGCTCTCTTCTCCGCATCATATTTAATTTTACCTGTTTTTAGTTGAGTGTTTGCTTTTGTTAACAGTACTTTATAACCCATTTCTATTTCCAGTTAAGGGAGTGTGTTTGTTGTGTTCACATATTTAAATCATGCTAAGATTAGGTTTCTTTGATTTCCAGTTTAGATCTGACTATTCTTTTCTCAGCACACTGTAGGTGAGATTTGGTCTAATATTTATTGCTTTTGCTCAAATATTTTCTTGGATGGGTTAATATTTACTCCTAAAACGCTTAGGCACAAAGAAAAAAGAAAAGAAAAGAAAATAACCCATTAAAAATATGATCCCAGTTGTTATAAAAGCCTAATCCTTTTTCCTGCTTCCACCAATTTGGCCTTGTGACTTTCCGGAAAAAAAAAAAATTTAGCCTTGTGCGTTTCTTGTGTTTGATTATCATGACCACACACTGCCGTCGTGACCAGGGTTATCAGAAAACGTTAGCAGACCTATGAACCGCGATCTGGGTCACACGACCCCAAACGTGGGTCGTTCGTGACCTGGATCACTACTATCTCCGACCCGAACTGTTTATCCAATCAATAAACAAAACCCAGATCTCCAATATAAACCCTAACCCCATATCAAACCAAATCATTGTAAATTACACAGATTAAGTTATAATAGGCTAAAGTAAAGAGTAGGTAACTTACTCAATGGATCTCTGCTTTTGGTTCTTCGGTTCGATTTCTTTGCTTCTCTGGTTTGGGGTTGCAGGGTTGAATCGATAATGTTTTCGAGGTAGGAAAGAAAGAGATCAATGTCTATTCTAAGACTCTTTCTCGGCAACGAACAGTGCCCGTGAAAAGTAACCTATTTTGGGTCCTATCAGTCGGATCAAACCTGACACTGCTTCAATTTCTTTGCTTTGACTTCTTCGATTACTTTGCATCGATTCGGCTTCTTCTTCGTGATGAACTGAGTTCTCTGGTTCATCGCCCTCACGGTTTCTCTCTCTCTGTTTCGATTTCGTTGTCGACGACTGTTGAGGAGACGAGAACTTCGTTCTCTCTCTCTCTCTTAATTGCCACCAACTCTTGTTGTCTGGGAGTGGGAGACTTGGGAAATATTTACTTGACTCTTAATTAATACCTAGGTGGTGTGAAATTACCATACCCCACTTATTTTATAAAAATAGAGAATATAATTTGGATAAAAAAGTTAAAATTAGGTTAGAAAACATACACACACATTAACTACAACCCTATATATAATATTTTTTAATGTCAATTATATTTTAATCCCAACTGCAGCCTCTATAGTCTGTATCGACGGCTATTGCCTCCCTCTTCCTCAATTATTCCTTCAATAGCTCTACTGTGTCGAATACTTCAATTCTTATTACTTAAAAAATAGTTTTTGGAAAAGGAGGGAAGAAAAAGATTCTTTTCAGATTGAAGAACAATTCAGAATTAATATTTAGAATTTGGATGATTTTGCTAATCAACAAGAAGTTGAACATATTGAAGTAACGGAAGAAGATAACACTAGACAACTATAAAAAATCGTACACAGGAAGATCAATTACAAGTTGATGCAAAATTGAAACCAATATTCAATGAAGTCAATCTTATTGGCGCAGCTCAAGGAAAAAATTTAAAGGGATCAAAGAGTTGGTCATGTAAGCATTGCAGTAGTAAATTTATAAGTTCATATACTCGAATGCATTACCATTTTTTTGGTGGCCCACCCGAAAAAAAACAGAAATTAAACGGTGTCAAGCGTTGATGAAAAATTTGACTGAATATGTAAAATTGCGAGAAAGAGTACAAAAGATAGATAAAATAAGAGTTTTTTTATCCCTGAAAAATTTTACATTGATGAAGCGGCAACCTTCACCGACGACGGGATCAATTAAAGATACATTCAAAATAATGGATCGAGACATGGTTGACTTTAAAGTCATGATTCTAGTGTGAGATTGGAGGATTTGCGATGAAAATCCTTGGAGGATGGCAATACAGATAGTTCTACCATTGCTAGAGATGAAGATCAGGAAGCTTCATTCTTGCATGCTTCTATGCCCGTCTCTATTGACAAGCTACCTACTAGTTCTAGCAGGTCACCGCTCCGTCATTCTGGATTACATTAGACTCAAATTAGTAATTTTGCAAGAGGAGGGAACACTGCCAAAGATAAAGGGAAAAGAGTTGACAATTAACTCATGTGTTCCAATTTTTTCTTATTATTAAGTAATTTTTATTTGAGACTTGTTAGATGTTTAAGACTGTTATTTTGATTTGAGCTTCAAGTAGGAGCCTATTTAATCGCTCTCTAGTATGTTATTTTTAAAATTTTAAGTTTTTAAATTTATATGCTGTCTTTTTTTGAGATAATTATACATGATTATTAGTTGATGTGTTGTTGGTCTTGATTTGTATTTTATAATATATATATTTATATAATTCTTTGTAATAATGAAAACGATTCGAATAATAGTTCAAAGCGAACCGTGACCCAAAATAGCGTACCAGCTAAGCTTACCTATACCGCACTACGCACCGCAAAAAAATAACTTACTCCGCACTTGTACCTGTACAACGTACCCAACGGACCCACGATCCAGGTAACCTTGGTCATGACTTTATTGGACAAATCCCAGATTGAGAAAATGAGGAATTGAGAAAATGAGAGCAATTATTTAAAGTATATATTAGGTACACATTATCTACAAAAAAAATTGATGATTATTGACTATAATGAGGATGTTTTAGTTTAAAAATTCACATAGATGACTAGACATTAGGTTTTCTTATCATAAAATACTGATTTTTTTATGAATTGTATATCATTATCACTATATTTGTAATAAATTATATAATGTTATATATAAAATATAATTTTTTTGTAGCGTGTCCCCAATGTGTCCGTGTCTGTGTCCAATTTTTTTGAGAAATGTCGTATTCGTGTGTCCGTGTCGTGTCGTATCCGTGTTCGTGTTATAAGAGAACAATTAGACCAGCAATGCTTTATGGTACAAAATGTCCGACAATTAATAAATAATACTAAAAAAATTATGTTGTAGAAATGAGAATGTTAAGATGGATGTGTGATAAACTAAGAAAACATAAAATTAGAACGTTTATATTCGTGAGACCGTGAAAGTAGCACAAAATAGGAGATAAATTAAAAGAGAATTAATTTAGGTGGTTTGAACATATGTATAGAAGACATAGTAATGTGTTCGATGAGGAAGAGTGATTTAATACATATTGATAATAATGCGGGATGTAGAGGTAGAACAAAAATTATTTTAAATGAAATAGTAAAAAAAGATATAATAGCTCATAGATTATCGGAAAACGTGACCCTTCATAGAGCACATTGAATTAACAGGATTCATGTAGCTGACCTCATATAGTTGGGACAAAATCTTTGTTGAGTTGATTTGAGTTGTAGAGTTTGGTAATGGTTGGTTTGTGGTTGTCATGAAATTTTTTAAAATGTTTTTTGAGTGAAAATGGTATGTGACTGGTCTGGCTATTTGGTACGAGTTCTTGACCAGGATTTTCTGATGTCAACACTCACAAACTTCATCAGCTAAGCTTGTGCTATCTAAGAACTTGTTTTCCCGGACAATTCAGCCTTTATGTGACAATATTTCATGCTTTTCTGAGAAAGGGATGTTAAATGCTAGATTATTGTGGTGGGATCACACACTTTGTCTTAAACATATATAGTCTTCAAGTGGCATTTTATATTTCCCCTCCCCTGCTCCCACCCTCCCTCTGCTCATGTGTTTAAACCTAGGCCCACATCATTTCTTTCTGATATTCTTAAACTGCTGCGTTTTTGTATATATTATTGATCCACTCTTCACCTAAGCTTTTAGTCATGCTATAAATAGGGAACATGGGGCGCTACTATCTTTTCCTGGCTTTCTGTTTATGGGCTCTGGCATCCGCTTTACATCCGGCATCCTGTGATGAGCTAGTAAGAATTGGTTTGAAGAAACGGCCTTTGGATCTTCAGAGTATTAAGGGCGCCAAAGTTGCAAGAATGGAAGGAAAATATGGAAATGAAGCGAAAGGCATGAACCATAATTTGGGTGATTCTGATGTGGACATAGTTTCCCTGAAGAATTATTTGGATGCTCAATACTATGGAGAGATTGGTATTGGCTCACCACCCCAGAAGTTCACTGTCATATTTGACACTGGCAGTTCCAATCTTTGGGTTCCATCATCAAAATGTTATTTTTCTGTGAGTTTTTCATCTTAACTTTGTGACATTTCCTAGATCCTAGTCCTCGTATCACCTAATCATCAAAATTTTATGCAGATCGCTTGCTGGTTCCATTCTAAGTACAAGGCAAGTCGGTCCAGTTCATATACCAAAAATGGTAAATTCCATTCTCTTGAGATTTATATGATTTCAACTATTATATGTTGAGTCTAGGATGGCATTGAGCAAATTTTTTTTGGAAATGTTGAGTTATAGGCTAGTTTGTTAGGGTCCCTTTTCAGTCACAAATATTTCAAGTGGAAATAACAGAGCTTTTGGTTTGTTGAATTTATTTTGACATTCATCCTCAACTAATTATTGTTGCGCTGTGATTCAGGAAAATCCTGTTCAATTCATTATGGATCTGGATCTGTTTCTGGCTTCTTCAGTCAAGATAATGTTGAAGTTGGTGATCTTGTAGTCAAAGATCAGGTGAGTTCTTGTCTGGCTTTAAGGTTTATTTATCCTTGTGTCTCGAATCATGGTCATGACTCTCTTCTTGTACAGGTTTTCATTGAGGCCACACGAGAAGGAAGTCTTGCATTCGTTTTGGCACAGTTTGATGGAATATTTGGGCTTGGGTTTCAGGAAATTTCTGTTGGGGATGCTGTGCCAGTCTGGTATTATTTGCTTTGGGTTTAGTTGTTGAATTTTTCTTTGAATCATTGGTCTTTGGACTGAAAAATCTCTATCTCACTAGTTCATTATCATACGTTCCGTATTAATCATTATGGAAATACAGGTACAATATGGTGGAGCAAGGTCTTGTAAATGAAGAGGTATTCTCATTTTGGCTTAATCGGGATCTGGAGGCAAAAGAGGGAGGTGAGCTTGTTTTTGGCGGTGTTGATCCAAAACACTTCAAGGGAAAGCATACCTACGTTCCTGTCACGCAAAAGGGTTACTGGCAGGTGAGTGAAAATTAAAGATCCAATGTTTGTAACAAAAATCCATCCCATTCTACCTTTTCCTTTTGCTGGAAAAATACGTTAACTATACTTTTATATGTCTTTTTCCATTTTTCTTGTTCAGTTTGACATGGGAGATTTTCTTATTGGGAACCATTCAACAGGTAATGTTCACAGCTTTTCAAACCTAGCAGTTATTGGTTTTTCTGTTTTGGTGATGTACATGGAAGCCCTTGTTTCCCAGCAAATCATTCAATATTCACTCCTGACAGAAAATGTGGGTATTAGTCACATTAACATGCACACAGACTGTTCTTCGGGTTGAACCCTAATTTGAGGTTTAATCTTTTGTGTTTATTCGTTATATCAGTATCAATATCCTAAATCCATCTTAATTCATGGACTGCGAGTCCGAAAAGTACACTGTATTCTTGAAATTATTTTGGTTTTTTTATAGCTTTATCTTTTCGCTAGGTTTTTGTGAGGGGGGTTGTGCTGCCATTGTGGATTCTGGAACATCCTTGCTTGCTGGTCCAACTGTAGGTTATTCTACCTTTTCTACAATTGGTTCTGTTCATAAGGATTCTCAGGAATTGTGAATCAGCTTCTGCTCCTGTTTTTTTGGACAAGCCAATATTTCCTTAGATAAATGTTCTTATTAGTCCATGAATTGCAGACTGTTATCACTGAAATCAACCATGCCATCGGGGCAGAAGGAGTAGTGAGCATGGAATGTAAAGAAATTGTCACTCAATATGGGGAGATGATATGGGATCTGTTAGTATCAGGGGTATGTGTTTTCCCCTTTCTCTTTTTCTTCTTGACCTTCTGTAAGTTTATTTAACTTAAGCTTAGAAAGTAGATTTTAATCTTTATCTTCAATGTCTGCAGGTACAGCCTGGCAAAGTATGCTCACAAATAGGTCTATGTATCTACAATGGAGCTCAGTATGTGAGGTCAGGATGCCCTTACTGTTTCGTGATGTCTTGGTGTTCTTTCTTGCTGTAAATAAAATGTGTTTGATGTTTCCTGTGGAGCACTGCTGCAGAAGGGTTTTCATGAAACCTCTTAAATTGGGAGTACTGTTCTGTAATTTCCTTTTGAGTGAATAACTAACTGTTGGGATTCAGCGTACACCAGAGTTTGGAGCTTCCTGCAAATAAGTTCGAAGGAGACTTTCTAATTTTCATATAATTACTTCAAATGCTTGAACCCTACTTAATCCGTTTGCCCAAAATTCGTTCATCCTTTATTTTAAGTCCTTTCTTTTGTTTTTATTTTACATAAAAAAGTTTATTCCTTTTTGTTTTTTTATTTTGGGAGGAGGTGCTGCTCAAAGGCATTTGAAGCTGACTTTCGTTAACTTTAAATACTTGAGTTGACAGTGGTGGGTAATTCCTTGCAGTTCTTATATCGAAACAGTAGTTGAAAAGGGGAAGGAGGAAATTTCTGCTGTGGAAACTCCAATGTGTACTGCATGTGAAATGGCTGTTGTATGGATGCAGAACCAGCTAAAACAAAAGGGAACAAAAGAAGCAGTTCTAAATTATGTGAATCAGGTAATATGTTCCCCCAAATTATACCTGCTGTTTAGATGCCAAAAATGGCAATTGATTTCAGTGGAAGATTAAATATCATGTTTAACAGCTTTGTGAGAGCCTACCAAGTCCTATGGGAGAGTCCGTGATTGACTGCAAAAGCATTGCATCCATGCCAAATGTCACCTTTACCATTGGGGATAAAGCTTTCCACCTCACTTCAGAACAGGTTTTCTTTTTCACTATTTCTTTTGATCTAATGCTTTCACTGTCTTCTCATGCGGAACTAGTTTTTGTGAATCACCTAGAGAATAAGAATTATATTGAGTCAGCTGATTTATGTTGATAAACTAGAGATTGGGAAGTTACTCAGCTTGTCTGATTTAATGTTTGAGTTAGCAGATAATAATGACACAAATTGTTGAGAAGTAGCTGGTAATGTGTCAAAAAGTGGGAAACTTTTGGGGAAATAACAAATTATGAGTTTAAACAGCAAATGGAACGACAATGCCTGTTACCAAAAAAATTGTGCATGATACTAGACATTAGAAAGGGGAGGACTGCTTCCCTGGAGCATGAATTTTGTATGGTATCTACCTTTTCTCCTATTCATTTTTGGTGTTAACAATATTTCTTTTGTTACTTTGTGCAAGATTCAACCATAGAACTTAGGCTAAGCAGAAATTTTTGCCATCTGAGCCATGGTCCAATTTCTTGGTAGCTATCACATGAATATGTATTACCATGTTAGTTTGACTGCATGTGAGATAGCCTTGATAGGCGCATGAATGATTGAAGTGGGGTAACAATTTTGATGTTAAGTTGGTAAATATCTTTTGAGAAATTCCAAAGAATTTGTCAGGATGGGAACATCTACCCTTAAACTAAGCAATGTAACTCTATACTCTCAATACACATACCGATCTTACATGGATTTTTATCGTTTGGGACTAACTTGGTAATCTGTACTTGGTTGCTTGCTTCCAGTATATTCTTAAGACTGGAGAAGGCATTGCAACGATCTGCCTCAGTGGGTTTATGGCTTTGGATGTACCACCTCCACGAGGTCCTTTGTGGTATGTTCCTTTTACTAACATTTGTGTGATATTCCTGTGTGCTGCGAGGCCACTTGCATGGATATATACATAATTACATGTTATCTTTACGCAAAAAATATATCTACGCATGCAGGATCCTTGGAGATGTCTTCATGGGGGTGTATCACACCGTATTCGACTATGGCAATCTCCAACTGGGTTTTGCTGAGGCTGCTTAGCAACCATGATCTCTAATTACTTCCGCCTTACTAGCTATCATTTCTAAGAAAGCAGGCATAGATTGCAAATGAATGAATTTAGTACATTGACAACGGAGATGGTATATTTATATTGTGTTTATTAATGCGAGCACACTTGATATGTAAGTAAGTTGTACTGAAATGCATGTTGTAGCTCTGCTTATTTGTGGGTGAAGCATTTGTGTTTTAGCTTTGACATCATGATGTGATATCAGATATCTATTCAAAGTAGAGGTGTCAAGTCATGTCGTGTCATTTTTGTGTCTTATTTTTTTTTGGTACGTGTCATGTTTTTCTTAATATTCCTGTCAACAAAAAGTTATTAATTTTATAACATTTCATATATTATTATTTAAAAAATCATAGAATAATCATTTTGTGTCTATAGTATCTATTAAATACTTATTTTTTTTATCTATAGTATTTGTTAATTGTAGTATTTGTTGTTCTTAAGGTACAAGATGATCAGACTCAAAAATGGAATCGATATATAATTGACATTCCTCGGAACAACCCGACAATCAGTAGTGATAACGAAAAATACTATGGTAAACTTGGAGCCTTGCTTTTTGAGAGGAGATCAACGTTTACTTGAAAAAAGTTTTTTACTATCTATCTTTGAATAATCTCATTAAATTTGATTCGATTAATGCAACTAAAGTAATCTATTGACAAGTTTGTTCATACGACACATAGGTGTACATACTTGAGAAATGATCTTAGGTCTTCTTTGATTTAACCTTGAGCCTTAGCCATTTCTTTTAAAAGAATATCCCTAGTTAGCCATGTTTGAGCCTTCAATAAATTATTATTTTTTTTTCCGAAAAACTTATATGCTAGCCGAGCCACAAGAAAATGTACTTGACATACCTTGCTATCTAATTTTCTTGCACCCTCTTATAAATTAGTATGATACAGAAAAAAAGAGAAATAGAGAAGAAAATGGTATCCACTATTCAACAAAAGAAAAAAAAAATTGGTGAGAACAACCGAAAAAGAAAAGAGACTGAAAGACAAAGAATTGCCATGAAAGTGAAAAAAGAGAAAAATAAAAGAAATACCACTACTAGGCAAAAGATCGAAAAGCTAGAAAGAGGTGTGCTACACTACATAATAAAAAGATAGCTTTTCAATAACATTGACGTTATTTTGTTAGCCACTGACCTCTGGCCACGTTACAACCTATACAAAGTCCTAGTTGATCTCAGGTTTGATGCATGTGTGTGTTGCCAATCAAAAGTTGGGGCATGTTGAATTGTATTTCTTTATTTGCATCAATATTCCTCCATGAGATTATGCCAAAACATGATTAGTTTGTTTCCTTAAACTTCACTCCTTTTCTAACTGTATTTTTCGACTAGCCATCTTCTGATCACATGCTATTTGAGAGACAAGTCACTATAACTGGAGCAAATTTTTGCCGAGGGCACTTTTAAGAGAGGTTTGTAAAATCAAAGTTAACCATAGGAGGTGGTAAAGTGGAATGCTTGTTATGAATCAATTCTTGTTTCTAGAATGACCATTCTTACTATACAGGGAATTTCAAATGCCAATGTAACTGATGCTAATTTTTGCATAGAACAAATACCTACTAACGAGGAGCATGCAAATGTAAGTCGAAATTGAGGGTTAGGTATCTCAACGACCATGATGTTAATTTACTTTAATCAGCAATCCCACATACAAATCTGTTCGACTGAAGTTTATGGGTAGCTTCACTGAAAATCCTCATCAGACAACACTCGTCCACTAGGTTAAACCTAGTGGTTCAACGACTTGTTGCATATGCTAAATGTAACCGGATGACCTACGAAAAAGACATTAGAAATAGATTTGCATTCTATTGTTATTGTATTACTAGAGACTAGCAATATTTAGGTTGGGGGGTGTGATAAATAGTTAAAATTAGCATATTACTATGCTCTTTTAAGACTAATTATACTTTGATGGAGTTTAAGTGATAATATTTCAGGTCCTAAAGTGAACAAGAGCTCAAGAACAACAAAAATCACACTTGGATATAACACCAGCATATTTGGGACAAAATTGGAGAAGCATGGAACAAAGCAAGAATGTTCAAACGCCAACTCACGTTCGAACGTCCACTTGAACTACGAAAAGACCAGATTGCTGAGATATGGTGTGTTGCAGCCAAGAAGGAAGACCTTGAAGTACTTGAGTACCACGCTTGAACGCCAACTTACGTTCAAACGTTCACTTGAATTGATTGAAGACCAGACGATAATGCAAAGTGCCAAGTTCTGCGTAGAGTGTGGAAATAGGTTTCCACAGATGACCACGAGCCACTTGAGTGAGAGCGTCAAACCCCATCTAGCGTTCGAATGCCCATAAAGAAAAGACAAAAGAAACGTTCGAAAGTCATACAACGTTCAAATGTCCATAAAGCAAAAACACAAACAAAGTTCAAATGCCAACTCACGTTTGAATGTCCTCCACAGACAGACTGTAGAGTGGTTGACTTTCACTTGGACTTGGGCAGCATACACTATTCTTTCACCGCCCCCCTCCTTCTCCTTGCCTATAAATACTCCCATTATGGGAGCTTCAAACGAGGAGGTTCTTGTAGAAGACTAGAACTTGGTTTGTAAGGCTTAGACTACACCAAGCACTAGTCAAGAGCTAGATGGAGGCTTAGACTCCCACTCATATAGCTAGATTTATATTTACTTGTATCAAGGGAGATAGTTTATATTTTGGTTGAGGAAGCAACCCTCCAAATGTGACTAGCTTTCTTTTACTTGTGTTGTTCTTTTATTTCACTTCCATTTCTTGAGCTTCCTTTTTTTTGTAGAGGAGTGAAACTCTTCCACTTTTCTAGAGCTTTACCAAAACCGTGATGGGTGGAACGTGATTCACTCATTCTTCATTGAAGATTGGCTCCTTGTTTATTTTACTTTCATTTTGAAATTCCTTTACTTGGAGGGATGAGTATCGCTCATTTTTCTAGCTTTACCCAAGCCATTAAGAGTGAGTAGTTCCTCATTCACTCTTTAGTAAGAGGTGATAAACATGTATTGATTATCTAGAAGTTATATTTGTGTATTTTCTTTATGCTTTAATGCTTTATATTTCACTATTAAATGATTGAATGCATCTAACAAAGTTAAGGTACTTTGTATAACCATGAGTTCTTTCTATGTCACGGATGACTCTTGCATGTAAAGACCTGTTGGTTCAAGGCAAGTGCCTCGACTAGATCTTTATGACAACATTTCAATCTTCACCATTATTGTGCTTTATTTAAAGAATAGAACATTAATGTCATTGTTGGATGCCTTGTAGAAACACTTGCTTGTTTGTAGGTGGGTTGAGTCTCGGCACAGGCAATTCTTGTAAACTTATAGGAAGGCATCGAAACCATGTGCTTAATTCACACAGTCCATCTTTATCTTTTGATTAACTTGCTATTGACACGGGAGTTAATTGAGTTATAAGGCACACGTATAACAAACCAGATGATTACTTACATATTCTGATCCTCAAGCTAAAGAGTGACTATTTCACATTTGAATTTATCTTATATTTTATCTAGAAAACTCTTGGAAAGAATCTTATGTTCTATTCAGGAAATCCCACAACTTCAAACTCTTAAGGTTTCCAGTTACTCGATTTCTGTCACTGCTTACTTCAAAACACTAATCACAGTTCCCTGTGGATTTTACTCCGGACTCAACTGGATTATTACTACATCTTGACCGCCTGCACTTGGGTGTATTCATTTTGGATCAAGTCAGTGCCTAGATGTTCGATTGATTCGTAGGAAGCGAGAAACTAAAATGGAGGCAAGGATTCAAGCATACCTTGTGACAAGTCTACGGTTTATCAAGAACTCACAACCACGTCCACACTCAATCTAGTCAAACCAAACTGTCGTACACTACGTGGAGGAATTAAAAAGAGTTGATTTAGCATATCCAAGAGGAATTCTCCCTTAGATTAGCCAACTTAAAGCTTAGCTACTCATATTTAATACAAAATCTTACATAAAGTAAATAGAAATTGTGAAGAAATGAAAATTGGAACTTAAATTAATGCAAGAAAAGTTAAACTATGAAGAAATGCACAAAGGAAGAAACAAACACACACACAACTACACTCAAGAAAATAAATCTCTCTCTCACTCTCCACAAGATGCACCAGCTCCACCCCTCAAAAGGTGAAGAATCTCATCCTGCTTAGCTTCAATACTAAGCATGATCTCTCGAAGTAAGCGTCGGGTGCTGGTATTGAGTCCTGCATCCTCCTGAGTCTGTGCATGCTCTCTCTTAGCATCAACTCTCTCTCATCTTCCTCATGTAGCTTATCCTGCACCTCATTGACGCCTCGGGTAGGGGCACCTCCTGTCTAGCCATCGGGGCTCCACTGTGGCCTTGGCTTCGTCGGAATGAGGCCTTATTAAGTGTCCCCATCGGTCTCTGTATTGTCATCTCCAGCCGGACCCTAATCCCATGGTCTGTGTATATCTTAGTCACCAGGGTGCCAAAAGGGAGTGAGTTTCTCTTCACATCACATCCCTTCTTCATCTCTGCCAAAATCAGGGAGGGGAGGTCTATGCTTTGGCCCTTCCCAATTGCGTATAGAAACCAGGCCATCTCGGGGAGGATTTTGTTCTTTTGTCTGATTGGGGCGAAGTTCAAAACCGTAATTAAATTCAGCATTTTGTACTTATTAGTCAATTCCTCTTGTCAAAAAATCTCCTCCCAACCCATGAGAAAGTGGCCAACCTCTTTAGCTACCCCCACAACGTTCATTGCCACGTTCTTCCTTGGGGGGTAGATCGGCCTTGGTACCTCCTTGTCTTAACTCCCAGATGTACTGCTCATATACATCAATATGGGCCCAACTCACATACGTCTTGATTGCCCTATTGATGATCTCGACGTTGGAGTAGAATTCTTGCACCAAGTCAATCACGGCTTCTTCGTCGTTTCTCAAGTATAACATCCACCCCCTCCTCTCCATGTCTTCAAGAATTTCCAACTCAACAAAATCATTCTCTATCACATCCCATTCACAAACTATGGCTTGATTTTGATAAAAGTTCTTATACCTGTATGTTTTGAGTGTGTTGGGGAAGCGGGTTTAGTCATATCTTTCCACAGTGGGCTCCCCTCCCTCTCTTCAATGACTTCTTCTACCATGTTGGGGTCTTGACTGACTAGATTGTGCCTGGCAAGGAATTTCACTCTTGGAGGCATGGTGTTCGAATTTGAGGTGGTTAGGGCTTTGAAAGGTTTGATTTTTTTTTTTGTGAGAATGATGATTTTTGATGTGGGAATGGCTTTGGGA